CGGTGGGTTGGCCTTAACCTTGGCATTTTATTTGTGACCTTGGCATTTGCTTTACTCGCAGGCTTCAATGGAAATAATGTGTATCGATAAACTAAATCTCTTGAATTTCGTAGTTTTAGGGTATTTCGGATAACAGAAAATATTGAGAATTGTCACAAACATACCATATTTGTGACTCAAACGACTAATGTATATTGTAAATTGTAGTCAAATTTTAAAAGTATTTAACAACTTTGAAACTAATCCACCAAATAGCCAATGTTTCCATGCCTGATTTGAAATGTCATCCCGATATATACAGTTTCAAAAATAGTCTGAAATTACGAAAGTGCCACACTCCTTATTGGATAATGCCTATTTATCTTAACTAAAATGATTTTTCCCCAAGAAAAAATATCTTTGGCTCCTATATAAAACTTCTCTGATTTATGTTGTCTTATTCACGTAAGCCTTCATTAAGAAATAATATTAAATTTATGATATTAAAATATAATTTCGAATAGGCCTATAACATTTTTCAATAAACATATTTGAGATTATTAATTTATCATTTTACAAATCATTATAACCCCCAAACCATATGAGTAAATACTTTGCATATGGCATGGCTAGTATTATAGGCCTTCTAATACCAAGAAATTTGCCATTTTAAACGAAGATATTTTTTATAGATAAGAGTGCTCTTCTATCCATGATGTCAAGTAACCGCGAATGTAAGTAAACTATGGGTCAGCGATCTGAGATGAAATGAAATTTTAATGGGGTTTAGCGTCCTACTGTCCTACTCTAACTGGGCTAATGAAGACGGGCTTATGCCATGCAGTCTGCTATGAGGTATATTTTGCCTGGACAGCGGCGCTACAGCCTACTTTTATATCGAATTCCACATGCCAAAGGATCTTTTACGTGCACGCCAATGTGTACACAGGACCTCAGTTTTTCGTTCCATCCGAAAGGACTATAAGTTGTATCTTGCCAGGCTTTCTGTCCCACACTACTGACAAGGATGAACTGCGCCGAAAAAATAAGATGAACATTCTCGGTCAAGGCATGGATGGAATACGGCACCCGCAGGCTAGGGAGCCATCGTCTTACTCACTGAAACACCTTGGCCCACCTGTCGTCAAAAGAATACAACATTGAATGAAATTTAATGAGGTGTGTGCGACAGCTAAATATTCCTATTGCAGAGCGATTTTCTATCTTCATTTTTATTTACATGACAAATCCATAATCAATACTCTAGACCACACCTGCTTTAGACGCTATTATGACCGACCAAGACTAAATTTTCCGAAAATTCAGGACATCACTCACAGAGAGTACCGATCAGAGGCTTGTCTATCGAGTGATACAGCTTTTATTCTTATATATTAAACGTCTAATTAAGTTCATTTTACTGAGAATTTAAATTTATTCAGTTTTCCTTATCTTTTTGACATCGTATAGCCAGAGCGGACAGCTCTTTATCTAAATCTTGCATATTGTCTCTTAAATAAAATAAATTATAGGGGTAAATGTAATGAAATATCCTACTTATCTCCACGAACTAGACGAATGAATTCTAGGTAATGCATTTACCACTTTGCATTTTGTTATGCAATACTTTCACGGAGAATCGTTTATAAGTAATATGTTTTATTCTCCGAGAGTAACATATTAACACACAGTTATAATAAGTAGTATTAATATGATATACATGGTATTCATATGTCAGAATTTAGTTTATAAATATAGTTTGTAAGTCTTTTATCTGGGTCAAAGATAAATTATCGAGTTCACTAGATTTTCTTTGTTGATTTATTGACAACATTCATTCTTACATTCAGTCTTAGTGCCATAATCTATGTGTATATTCAAAAAGAAAAAAAATGTCCTGTGTAGACACGGTAAGACAAAAATATCTGGTAGGGAGGGTATCGTAAATACTTTAAAACGGTCATGATGTCCGATTTGAATAAATGAGGTTTGCATGCAAGGCGACTCTTTCAGGGTGTGGTATTTATCCTCGAATACAGTGACCATAATTCAAGTCCAATGTCTGCAATGTTTACGTCAAACACTCTTAGGGGATCAGTCAAAGTACATATAAATATCAACTCACTAACAAAATAAAAAGCAAACCTTTACCACAAACGATTCCAATATATTTCAATACACATAGTTAGAAAATAATAATGTTGTTGAGATTCGGGGACTGGAATATCATCTGGTCAGCACACCATTCCTCGAAATCAAAATTTTCAGCTGCCTATGCATAGTATCGTAAATAATAAGAACTATGGCGGTGGTGGGGACCCTAAATTAAGTGGGTTACTAGACCGACAATAAATGGAATCCGTTTCCAGAATATTCCCGATTCAAAAGTAAACTTGATAAATTGGCGTAAGTGAAGCCAGCAGCTCAATGGAGTTAGGATACCATTTTGTTTTGCCTAACTGTTTCACTACATCTACCAATATTTGGTGCACCAGTTGGGCTCTTTTTTGACAAGGATAGACCAAGGTCCGATTCTCGATTGAATCAATTATCAGTTGATTAGTAAATCCCGCTTGATCGAACAAAATTCTGACATAGTTCAAACCATAATATTGTTATATGGAACGAATTTGTAGATAATTTATATTGTTAACTGGTCGATTCTGTTAGGCATATGGTAACACCTGAATGTTTATTACAATACAACAAAGCAGATGTTTCAGCAAATCGACTTGTACGGGAAAATAGAAATTACGACTTTAATGCTCATTTAGACAATCGACTAAAATGAATCATGCCGAAACGATTGAAGCCGAAATTCAAACGACTGGTGCCAGCGCAAATCGTGTTTTAGAGTAGAATGGTCAATTTACAATGTCTGCGTTTTACGCTTATGAATGTTTGAACTTTGTGTTACTTTAGAATAAACAACATTTTGAAGCATTTATTTTAATATAATGTTTATCAGTCGCAGCCTGACATTTCTACTTGTAAAAAGCGTCGGGATATTTCTTCAGTAGAGACACATTGATCATTCGACCTAGTCTCAGTGACGGGTCGTGTTGGCTAGTCTTACCAGACAAAAAAATATGTGAGTCATATCGACACAGAAATACATAAATAAACGAAACATTATATTGTAAGCATGAAAGCCATTTAATAGCCAAATTACAAATACATAAATTGTTCAGTTCTGTAATAAGCTAAAAAGTTACAACATAAGCAATGGTATTATTACTAGCTAACCAATTTAAATAAATCCAATAATAATGATTTTTGTTCAAATATGGAATAAAAAATCCAAAATGCAATTTCTTCAAATGTATAAAATAAAGATTTAAAAATCCAAATTTATGAAGCAGCTTGTTTTAAATCATCTCAAGGTTTCAAAATCTTTCACGGATCCTACATCTTTTTAATTTAAACCATGTTGTTCTTAGCGTTTTAACGTCCGTTTCCACCGAAGGTGATATCGCAGACAAGGTCTTATTTTTTTTTATTTTCATTATCTCAGCGCACGCGCAGGGGTCTTTCATGTAGGAGGAAACAGGTACCCGGAGTAAATCCATGAGGTTGAGAAGGCGCCCCTTTATCTCCAAACAACATACGCTCACACCAGGAATCGAAACCACAACCGCAAGGCAGAGGTGACCGGCCAGCTAGAGGTCGAAGCGCGACATTCTCGACCACTAGGCCACCCCAACCCCCCTAAAACCAATCAGATTTAAGTTTATATAGCGCGAATTACTTAAATGTAGGCTATGTTTTGTTGGACATGTCAATGTTTCAAGGCTAATGTTATATTGTTCAAGGCATACATTGTTTAGTCTATGCTGTATAGCATGTTTAATTTTAATTTTTAAACATCGATTGTGTTGGTAGTGCCAATGCAATAATAGGGACCTTTCGCATCGGTACGAAAACGAACACCAAAACGAACATATGTTCATTTACGTTTTCGTTTTCGTATCCTTGATCACGCGGTTTCGCAATCCGATGTACGATAATAACTAGATGGCGTTAATTTCCACTCCATGAACTTCTCGGTCAAGGCAAAGTTTTCAATCGATTTTTTTGCAGATGTACAACAAATCAAGCAGAATATTCCTTGTGAGCACATTCTACGAACATTCAACTATATACACAAAGTCTCGAAAAATGGTGAAAAATTCAATATATGAGACAAGAAACATATTCGTTTGCATACCTACGTAAATCCAGCTCCATACGCGTAACGTTTTTCACTGGCCGAACACTCATTACGGATTGACGTCACAAGTACACACGAATCGATGACGTTTTCGTATTCGTTTTCGTACCGGTGCGAAAGGTCCCTAATATGTTTAACTATATAGAGTATTTACATTTTTATTTATGTGAGTGGAGGGGGGGGGGGGGGGTATGATGTTAAGACGGCCCTGGCTCTAGTTGAGTGTCCGGATGCGCTTTGAAAGTAATAAAAAAAGAACAATCCTTCTACAATGTTGATCCTCTCAAATGACTAATATTATAACTGACAACAATTTCAATCATACCTTTTTAGGAAATGAATCATCATGGCAAACTTAGGTTTCTCCGGGAATTTGAAAGAATGTCCATTGAAATTCACAAACAGAACATGACTGTAAACACTTAGGGAATATTTTAACAAGTTTATGTGGTTCCCGAAACAACACCGTTGCCTAGTTTAAAGTATTTTAGGTATACTTAGTTTCTTCCACGGCGAAATACTGTTAATAACTGCGCATATTCAAGAATGAAAGTCATTTGCATAAATTATACATGTAAATGATAACAACATCAGCAAATCTTCTCCGACCCATTTATAACCCTGTGTGGTACCACATTCCATAAGATGGAAATTATACTAACATTTCTACTTGTAAACAGTATCGGAATATTTCTTCAGTAGAGACACATTGATCATTCGACCTAGTAATGTTGGCTAGTCTCATCAGACAAAAATTAGAAGTATGTGTGTCACATCAACACAGAAAAAATCCCACAAATGAACGAAAAAATATATTGTAAGCAATGATAGCCCTTTAATTATAGCCAAATTACAAATACATAAATTAATCATTTTTCTAATAAGCTATATATAAATTTACGACATAAGCATACTAAATACATATAATAATTTAGAGAAAATGTTGTTCAAACGTTTGTTTAATCACATGTATAAGCAATATTATTATTTGTAACGAACCGAATAAAGCCCTTTAATAGCCAAATTACAAATACATAAATTTCAGATTTTTTTTTTTATATATATAAACCATCTATAAATATATATAGATTTGAAAAAGGGTAAAAAATAATTTGTTCAAATATTTGTTAAATAACAAGTATCATGAGTGGTATTATTACTAACGAATCCAATTCAATTAAATCGAATAAATGTATGAAGACTTTTGTTCAAATATGGAATAGTGAATAATTCAATTTCTTCGAATTAATAAAATAAATTACATGTAAAAAGAAAAATCCAAATATATGAAGCAGTCCGTTTTAAATTATCTTCAAGTTTCACAATTCCGAATCTTTCAAGAATCTTACATCTTTTTAATTTAAACCAACCAGATTTATGTTTGTATAGCGCGAATTCCTTAAATTTATGACCTGGGCACTTTGCTCGGAATCACTAAAAGATAGTCTGCGTTTCTTACAGAAGACACTCGCAGAAAAACGTTGAATGATTGAACATGATGCGTGCCTTAACCGGGGCCGTCTTAACACATGTATCACGCTGGGCAATTGTCGGGAGGCATGGGTGGGGGCGACCATATTTTTTTTGCTGAACTATTAAATGTTTCAAGGTTCATGTAAACGCATGTGTTGATTATTCTATGCAGTAAGGCATGCTTTATTTTAAACATTTAAACACCAATTCTGTTGGTAGTGTCAATACATTAAATATATTTAACTATATCGACTGTTTACATTTTTATTCATGTGAGTGGAAGGTGGGGGGAATATGATGTTAAGACGGCCAAGGTCCTAGTTCAGTGTCAGGATGCGCTTTGAAAATAATAAAAGAGATTAATCCTTCTACATTGTAGATCCTTTCAGATGACCATCAGATAGCCCGTTCAGGCGCTTATTTTTAAACCAGTTCATAATCGCTGGGGTTTTTAAGACAGCATCGTGTTGCGTTCAAACGTACTAAAAGCCAAACCAGTTTAACTATTCTGACCTCTTCGGTCGGAGGTTAGAGTTAATTGCGCATGGGTAGCTTCATATTCTTTATTCGGTTCTCGCACGCTTTAGATAACATTGGCACAGTCTGACCCCGATATTTTCACAGGAATGTAACTTACTGCGTACTGCGCATGCTCAAAGCAAGCTGGAGCTGGGTTTTTTAAGCCAACCCGTTCAGACGGCAAAGATGAACCAGTTTAAAATAAAAAGCCTTCTCGAAGACAGGACGCGAGCTGGGGTTTTTTAACTGGTTTATTTGCCCCACATGTGCGTTCAGACGCCAAAGTTAAACTGGTTTAACAATCCCCGGGGTTTTTAAACCAGTTCAACTTAAGCGTCTGAACGTGACTTAATATAACTAACTACAATTTCAATTTTATAATTTTTTTTAGGAAACTACACAATACATGTATATTCATAGAAGCAACAAAATAATTATAATACTTTCAGAATAATCCAATTAACTACAATTTCAATCTTATATATTTAGGAAATAGGCCTACACAATATATTCATACAAGCGACAAACTAATTATAATACTTTCAGAAGGATACACGTAATGCTTAAATATATAAAGTTTACTTTCAATTTTGCCAAACTTTAGTAAATTTGAGGTGTGTGGTTGTTTTACCAGGTAACCGAAATTCCCAGAAAATATTGTCCAATACGTACTGTACATAGTTCACAAAATTAAAGGTTCGGGTCAACTTTTATTTTAAAGCAACGCCGAATCCGTATACTCTCTACAAATAATGAACAAAACGTGTAAAATATTTAAATCATTTGAAACATGCACGATCAGAATTTAAAGATATTATGAGAAGTCGTTAAATTGTAACGGTCGGTGCGAATTATTATTTCTATGTTAAGGTACCCCGAACCACTATGAAGTCAAAATAATCACAAATTTTATTTATTTATTTATTTTTTTTCAAAGTTGACCCGAAACTTTAATACGACTGTAACAGATAATAACATATAGTGATGCCATGTAAAGACTGTGCGCTCATTAGCAACAGTTTTAAGGTTAGCCAGTACGACGTAGTATGCTGTGATATAAATTGTTTTCAAGAATGCCAAACTGTTGTCGGTATCAGGGACCGAACTACCCGAAGAAGCTTGAAAAGAAATCATCAAAACTCTGACAATCAAACACTGTAATATAACTAAATTAACTCATTTAAATTATTGTGGGCTATAATTCGAGTATAAAATTTGATTTGTCCGGGTTATTACATACTTCAAAATAAAAATAAGTTTAGAAACGGATGATCCAATTTTGCTCGACAGACCTTTATATTTTAAATGACCGAGACTTATTTTTCCGTATATTCTTTAGCAAGTGATATGTTAAAGTGTAGTATCCATCATACATATAACATAACCGTTACAAAAATAGCATTTATTAACGTTAGGTTAGACAAAAAACAATCATATCAAAAAACATAATAAAATCAGTAAATACAAAAAACGCAAAAGGAAAGAAAAAAAAGCAAAAAGAAAATTCTTTACATCTTCACATTAATGTAATTCTTCACATCCTCACATTAATATGATTCTTCAAATCTTCACCCCTCCACCTGAAATCATAAAGGCAGCAAATTTAATATTTATAATTTATATTTTACTGTAAAATGGTTTGTGACTGTAGGAGTGGGATCTTGTATTAGTTTCAATATAAGATTCGGCGAAGATATTTTAACTATATAAAATTAAAATTTAATCGGGAAGTAATTCTGTTATCTTCAACTGCCAACGACCTCTTAACGTGACGACACATTAGATTTGTGTGTTTGAAACATGACACTTTTACACGGTATTCACGGTTATTTATGTGCATACGTTTCAAGCCATATTATTTTATTCCAGACTAACTTTACTTTAAATTAATGTATTTAATGGACTTGATCTTATGACACATGCTGGGAGACATGGTGGCTAAGTGGGTCAGACGCTGGCTTCCTAGCTTGGAGTTCGCGTGCTCGATCCCTGCATTGGCCGAGAAAGTTAATCAAGATTTTCCGACGTGGTTTCCCCTTGTCAGTGGTTTAGGACGGAGGGTCTGACAAGGACAGCTGTCTAGTTAGTCGGATGGGACGGAAAACCGAGGTCCCGTGTACACATTGGCGTGCACATAAAAGATCCCTTGGCAGTTAGAATTCGATATAAGCGTAGGCCATAGTGCCGCTGCCTGGGCAAAATTACCCTCGTAGCACACTGCGTTAGCCCAGTCGGAGCAAACCAGTAGGGCGTTAAACCCCATTTCATTTCATTTATTTATTTATGACACATGCTACGGGTAGTATGACTCAAGGAATGGTGAAGTACCGTCGACTGTTAATATTTACATCCAATTCTCGGAGAAAAATTCTTAAACAATGCAGAATTTTAATGACCTTCGCGCGCGAATATTCATCATTCTTAGAGAGGACGAAAAGTTGGCTCAATATCAGAATATATTCACTACAGACATTATATCTCTAGTACACATAAACGAGGGTTGAGGTTAGTTTTGAATAGAATTGTTTTGGCTAAGAATCGTTGTAAATATAACACTGATAAACCATAATATAATACGAAGAAAGATTTTGCGTAACAAATGGCGATATAGTCTTGAACTATGCTGTGTTTCTCCGGGAATTTCAGAGAATGTCCATTCAAATTCACAAACAGAACATGACGAAATACATTAGACATGTTTTAACAAGTTTATGTGGGTCCACAAACAAGGCTGTTGCCTAGTTTAAAGTATTTTAAGTATACTTAGTTTCTTAAAGCTGCAATGTTTTAAATCTGAAGACAAAATTGCATAATTTAACACAATTATTTGAAGGGTGGGTAAATTTTCACTACGAAACACTATTAGTAACTGCGCATATTCAAGAACGAAAGTCATTTGCATAAATTATGCATGTAAATGACAACAGCATCAACAAATCTATAACTTACCATTTTAATAAGTGATACAAGTCATCACCCTTTTAGGGTAACCTCCTTTTCTTGCAGGAACTAAGCCCAGGCTGGCTCTTGAGATTAACAGAAAAGTAAATCCCAAATTTCTCCCCATCACCAACAACGTTTTGACCATCCCATCCATGATGGCACAGCCTTTCCTCCCGACTGTTTTAAACATCCCCCAACTTCGTCTTCAGGATTATAGCTTCAAATACTCTCGGAATTAACCGATTTTCCAAACACCAATGCCAAGATTCTGGCAAATAATTATTTAGACTCACTTGTAACTAATCTTTTAATGTCCAACTGACACAATTTATTGTCTTTAGTCAATCGTCTCTTTTCTCTAATGGATCTAAAAACAGCCTATACACTATAAAAAGTTATTAAAACTGTTTTAATTTATATTGTCAATATTTAATAAATTGATCCAATTCTGTATTAGTGAGTATGTTCAAGGGAAGCGGATGAAAACAGTCTAAAGACCTTGACAACCTTCCTTAGTCCATATATAAAACCACTTTGTCTTGGTCTTGTCTTGCCCTTTCCCATTTTGTCTCAAGATCGTACTCAGCTTCTCAATAAATATCAAACACAAGAGTTCGTTACAGTTAGTGAGTGTGCTCTAAACTTCCAGCAGAGAACAATCGCAACACTTTAACAACTTTGTTGAATCTTCCTCTGAAACTGTGCTTTTTTGTTCCCTTTCCCATTCTTCTGTAGGGGTGTGCCTTTAATTTAAATTCTGGGACGTTCCTCAAAACTGATTTATGTCGATTAATTCGACTGATAGGCATTGATTCCTAATTGTTCTAGTGTTTCTTTACTTGAGGTTATTTCCAATTAGGCTCGCCAGAGACCAATCACGAAATGTGTGGTGTTCAAAGAATATGCACTAAGGTCTTGGGATGCTGAGATGAAGGTATTTGCGATTGAAGACATCTTAATATCGGACCTAGTATAAGACGACATAACTGCAAATACAAATTAAATGTCTACAAAGTCTTGATGGAGTGGTACGGCTAATAACACACAAGTTTAAAATTGTTCACTTAACTAAGATGGCTCCCTTGAAAATACACTGCTCTATCTGTCTGAACTGTTCGCAATGATCTAGATTGCTCTACTGATCTCATGATATCTCATACTGGGCTTTTGTGCATATCTACCAAATTTGATTGGCTGTTAATTATGTCCACGCGCATGTTTAAACCACTCGCTAGTACGCCATGGTTTAACATTGATCGAAAGACCCATACATAAGCAGTATTTCTGGAGAACGAACAATTCATTGGAAAACCCAGATTTTAACTTGGCACAGTTCCATTAGCACTATGTCATTTTCTTTTATTTGATTTTTGTCAGATTCAATTTTCGGAATGTGGTTTTCAAACTGAACTCGCAACTACAGCGTCTGATTTAGAATTTGGAGGGGGGGGGGGGTCGGGTTCGGGGGACCCACATCAAACAACTTTTACATTACATGACAAATACTGAAGTGAATATAATCTGAATGGTAAATCGCGTGCGTTCGAAAAACATATAAGTTAGGTTCCAAAGGTTTTATTTTTCTCAAGTTTATTGGTTGTTGTATGAATAACTACCTAATAAAGGCCAAAGTAATAAATTACTTTGTTAACTATTTGAATAATATAATTTTTTAATATGTAAATATTACATTTTTTATAGATTGGTTCGGTAGGGGGTCCGAATCTGCACGCAACCAGAAGTTCGCTGGTAGCTAGAATTTGATGGAGAAAGGACAAAATTCAACTGTCTCTGCACACTGTCGGAAATCATATGTTGGTCTCAATTGACCGGTTTATTTACTTGGTAAGACGATAAATCCCACTCCATTCTTCCCACGACTCGTGAAATGCATAATATCTACTGTTTACTAGGTCATAACAGGGTAATATAAGGAAGTTTTTCATCTCGAATCGAAACTAGTTTGACCTCAAGTATGTGTATAACTAAATATAGCCAGGTCATGTGACAACATCGTTGATGTCAAGATAACATTATATTATTGAGTTTTTATGTACATGTAGGTTTATAGTTTTAGCTCAGTATTGATTACCTTTGAATAGAAATATGATGGTGTTTATAGACCTACTTTTCTTAGTCTAGCGAATAAATGAAGACGGGCGCATAAGCCATACTGGGTGCTATGATAGCAATTTGGCGCGGACAGCTTTTTTTTTCTTTTTCTTTTTTTTTGGGGGGGGGGGGGGGCGTTGTACTTTCCAAACAAAAAGATGTGTTTTACCTTGCTAAACTCACCGTCATATACAATTGACCATGGCGGTACAGGATTTGGTTTAAGCCAAATTAAGCTTGCTTGTACCATCTGCTCGCTTTTTATGCGTGTTTTGCAGACATTTGCCAAACACCATATCATATCAATTTTGTTTTCTGTTTTTACATTTTTTTATAATGTGCTAAGCGGCAATGACGCAGAACATCTAGTCATTCGGGTGATGCAAAATTTCGAGACAAAATTTCCCTCATAGCGCACCGGCCATGCCCTATGCTCTTCTTCAATGGCCCGGCCGTCAGAAATACCCCCCCCCACTCCACCCGGTCTCTTGACCTGATTTGTTATATGCGTGTAATAAATTATTTATTGTTTGAAATGTATGTGTATCCTGCATTAATGCTCGTACTTGTTGTTCTGAAATTTTGAAATAAGCTTAAATATAATTCACTTACCGGGTATTGATTCTGTCTACAGAATAATATCACACATTAATATAATATCATCGTTATGTACCTGTTGTGTTATAAAGTGTATATATATATATATATGCATGAGTAGATCAGTCTGACATTATCTGTGTTATCGGAGAATGACTAGTTTAAAATAGAAACGATTCCCCGTGAAATTAATCTGAACTTAACTAACTTTATAGTTGAAAATGCATGCCTGGACTGTATTGAACGTCCACATTGTTGTGAAATTTTAGTCACCATTTTTTGCATACCATTTAAGACATTAAAACACAACATAAACAGTGGTATCGATTACTCGTAGCCTAACTTAAATAACGCAATAAGATGATTCATTTGTGATAACGTCCAAAAGCTTTATCATTGTGTTAAAGAATATTACAACCCCGTGACCGCGTGACTATTGAACAGCCAGTTAGGCTTCTGTAGATTTAATGAAAATAAAAAAAAAATCAAATGAGTGTTATTCCTGTTCCATGAGATCTTGAGTATAAATTTAAGTTCGAATGTATAATTCGGTTGTTTCTTGTGATTCGTGAAGTTATTGTCCTTGGTTTTGAACGCATTGTTTGTGTGTTCTGTCTTTTGTACCGGGTTGCATTCTCGTTTACTATCCCCCCCCCCCTCAATTCTATTTTTATGAAAGTGAGTCGCCATTACAGATAGATATCTGCGCACTCAATATATGAAATGGGGTTTAACGGCCTACATTTCTGAATCGGCCTGACCATTGAAGACGAGTATGCATTGAGGAAAATTTTGTCTCGATTTTTCGCACCATCCGAATGACTAGATATCCTGCATCATTAAACAGTTCAGTGTTATCCGCTCCTTTTAGCAATAAATGATACTCACCTTCTGGACTCACACAAAGAAAGAATACAATTGTTTGAAACAATAAACCTAATATTATGATCCAGAAATCTTCATATTTTGATACTTGATTGCTAAAGCTTGCTTGCAAACTGTGTCACCACAATTCCACTGGACGGTATAACTTGTAGTATAGTAAGTCACATAAAATATGTCCTTTTAATATTATCTGTACTTGTCATGGGTACAAATCCTAAACTGCCGCCTGATAAGAGTGTCATCTTGTGATGTATTTTAGATGGAATATTTATCATTCTTCGTGGTATGGTCCTCATCCAAGACGATATCCCTTTTATATACGATCTGAAATACACACAAAATATCATCTAATCATGTAAAGTCTAATTCGATAATCTGTACTCGTGGAGTATATAAATAAAGACTAAAAGAATGCACTGGGTAAAACCGTAAATAAATATGTGGATAAAGTAATAAACTAATTGCGAGATTGTTAAAGATGTGATCGGCACAAAATAACATTGATATTGTAATATCGTTTTTAATTTTAAATTCATAGAATCATTTCCTAGACAAACAAACAACATAACAGGAGGCTCGAGGTCGCTCGCTAGCCTGGAGTACTCGGGTTCGCTCCCGGTGTTGGCCGAGAAACTTTCTCGGAAATTTTCCCCCTTGTCAGTGGTACAGGACGTAGGCCCTGACAAGGACAACTGTCTAGTCGTCTGGATGGTACGAAAATCCAAAGTCCCGTGTACATATTGTCGTGAATGTAAAACAACTAATGACAGTTTAAATTCGATATAAGAGTAGGCCATAGTGCCGCTGTCCAGGCAAAAGTTCCTTCATAGCACACTGTATGGCGTATGCCCGTCTCCATTAGCCCAGTTCGGAACAGAACAGTAGGACGTTAAACTCCATTTCATTTCATTTCCTCAGTATATGTCTGTTCTTGATCAACGTATTTGATATTTTTAAATCAACATATTTGAATTTTCAGATCAACGTATTTCAGATTAAAATGCCCATTTTTGGCAAAATGAAAGCTATTTGTGAACTTTGAATATCCACAAATAAAAAAAAAATATTTGTCGAATTGATTTTTTATAATGTACATGAAAAATACATCAAATTAGGATTGTGGAATTATTCTTTTCACGAAATGAAATGAGGTCTAACGTCCTACTGTTCTGCTCCGACTAGGTTAATGAAGATGGGCATACGCCATACAGTGTGTTATGAGGGAAATTTTGCTCGGGCAGTAAACACTATGCCCTACTCTTATATCGAATTCCAACTGCCAAGGGATCTTTTACGTTCATGCATACACGGAACCTCGGTTATTCGTCCCGTCCGAACGACTAGACAGCTGTCCTTGACAGGCCCTCCGTCCTGCACCACTGAAAAGGGGAAAACCCATTGGAAAAACTTTCTTGACCAATGCAGGGATCGAAAACGTTACCTCGGGGCTAGAAAGCCTGCGCCTTACCCACTTAGCCACCGTCCCCCCACCCAAATAACAGATGCAAAGATTTTTGGATATTTGCCAGATTCTTTCAAACCGGGAATACCCACAAAATAAATAATAAATTTGTCCAATAAGGAGATAAACATTTCCTATGATGTGCAATGCTAGACATGTTCTTTGTCATTATTGTAGTGACCGTGGGGGGGGGGGGCAAAGTAAACAGTGTTGTTATTGCCAACTGATAAACAAAATAGTATAGGCATTATTTATTGTTTTTCGAGATGAATATGCATACTGAACATTGCATGGGATTGTCGTATTAATGTCATTAATAAATTTATTAGAAAATCTATTACAGATTACATCTACAGTAATGTTTAATAGCTCTTAGACATCGCCGACAAAACCCTCTCGTCGGTTCTGTTTATGGAACTCTTCCAATCTAAGTTCATGGAAAACATGCCGCATAAAATGAGCGATGATTAGGGTTTTGAACACTATTTAATAAGCCAAAATTGTTTGTTTATGAGAAAAATTGTATATTGGAGCAAAACGCTTAGGTCCTGATTTGGTTGAGCAAGCACTTAAATATACCCACACAACAGTAATGTCTCGACAGCATCTTATGCGAAAGGAAAACTTGGATGCTGACCAAATTTGATATTTCGGAAAAGAAGGGAATAGCTCTGGAACTGAAAAACGAGCTATGTTGAATATCGATATACGGTTGGTCTCCTAATGACCACAATGATTCACTTTAAATGTGAAAAGAATTTGATAGGGGTGATGACTGTCGAATAGAAAGTCGTTGAACGCTAAATACAGATATGCTTCGTCCTCCCATGACCCCAATACTTCAAAGCAAATTCGAAAAAGAAATCCATTACAAACTGTAGTCTCAATTGCATTCGCAAAAGTGGAGATAATCTCCGCATCCATTAAAAACGGCAGCCTTAATAAAACACGGTAACTTCGAATTGAAAAGTCGATAGTACTCGTCCCCTTTATGACCCCAATGCTTTCCACCTAATTTGAAAAACATTCGTACAAAACTAAAGCCTCTATCGCGTTCACAAGATTGTCTGAAGGTGGGGGGGGGGGGGTAAATCCGGAACGGAAAGACACG